CTTGCTTATAAATAAAGGTCACATAGAATATAGGCGGTGGAAGAAAAAAAATGCTCAAACGGCTCCGGGAAAAATCTTGAGTTTTCCCTGAAGTACGTTGTGTATTATTCCAATATATTATATTTGGCAAGTGATGGAAGGAGTGATAAAAAGAGCTGTGGCAGAGAGAGTGAAGTGGACTTCTGAACTATTATAGAGGATTGGTAGTTAGCAAGAAATTGGTGATTAATCTATTAAATCATTAAGCTAGATTGGAAATAGTCTGATGGGTCATGGGACTTCCGATATGGATGCCAATCAGCGGCTAGGCAGTGGGAGGTATGCCGGTTTGAAGCAGGTGAGAGATAACTACACTTCCTTGGATTACGATCCCCTCACTCTTTTTTGTAGAAATCACCTGAAGACTGGGCTACCATTTGAGGACAGTAATTATTATTCTCATACAATCAGAGGTGATATGGCCACGATATACAAGATGCTTAATGATACACATAAGACTGCTGGACATGGGAACAAACCATAGGGACAATACAATGACCTTTTTCATGTAAAGATTATATTCACAATAAAACGCTAAACCCGTGTGGGACATTCAGCTCAGTTTTTCATGTGATAAAAATGAATAAATAGGAAGACTTGTAGCTCGGTGGTTATAGCGCTCGACGTAACAACCGGTAAGCTCCGGGTTCGATCCCGGGCGAGGCGAGACGTTAGGGCAAGTATTTTTAATTATAATGTCAGCACACCTTTCAACTGATATGCTGTCAGCATATTGTTGTTCAGTTGTTACGTTGTCAGCATACTGTTGCTCAACTGTTACACTGTCAGCATACTGTTGTTCAACAGTATGTTTCAATAATATAAACTGTTGTTTAATTGTTATGCTGCCAGCATATTGTTCAACTGCTACGCTGTCAGAATGCTGTTGTTTAACTGTTGAGTTGTCATCATACTGTTGCTCGACTGTTATGCTGTCAGCACACTGTTCAACTGTTATGCTGTCAGCATGACCTTCAACTGCTATGCTGTCAGAATGCTGTTGTTTAATTGTTGCGCTATCAGCATACTGTTGTTCAGCTGTTATGCTGTCAGCTTACTGTTGTTCAAGTGTCATGATGTTATCATTCTGTTGTTCAAGCGTCATGCTGTCAGTATACTGTTGTTCAACTGTCATGCTGTCAGCGACTTGTTGTTAAGAATACTTTTATTCAGTTGTTGCTCTCAGAATACTGTTGTTCAAGCGTTACACTGTCAGCATACCATTATCCAACATTACACTGTCAGCATACTATAGTTACAATGAGTGTACTATTGTTCAACTGTTACACTGCTATCTAATACTGTTATTAATATTAAACTGCGAATACTGTTGATAAACAGTTAAACTGTCAGCATACTGGTTTGAATAAACAAAAACTGTTCAGCATGCTGTTTTTGGAACTATTCATAACAATATAACTGTTCAGCATGTTACCACTGCATGCTATTTTATATACACCGTTTTTGACTAGTTCAACATTACACGTTAGCTAACTGATACTTAAATCTGTTCACATACCGTTACATTCACCCACTGTCAGCATAATCTGTTCAACCGTTACACAGTTATTTCGCTCACAACTGTAAACATATTTACACTGTTTGAGTCACTTGATATAACTGTTACACTCTCAACTTTTTAAAACTGTTACACTGTCAGACACTGTTACCTCAGCACACTATCAGCATAATGCTGTTCATCTGTTACGCTGTCTATACTTATGATCAGCTTCTACACTGTCAGCATACTGTTTAAATGTTTGACTGTCAGCCTGTCAGCATATAGTTCTACTGTTACACTGCCAACTTTGTTCACTGTCACACTGTCAGTACACTGTTAAACTCTTCCTTTCATCATATTATTCAACTTTTACACTGTAGGCTTCTTCGTTCAACTGTTAACAGTCAGAATACTGTTATTCAACTATTAAACTGAAATTTAGAATACTGTTGTTCAGCGGTTAAATGTCATACACTGTTATTTCTGTAAATTCAACTTAACGTACTGTTGTTCAACTGTTAAACGGTCAGAATACTGTTATTCAACTATTAAATGATCAGAATACTGTTGTTCAGCGGTTAAATGATCATAATACTGTTGTTTAACTGTAAACACGTCAGAATACTGTTGTTTCATTTATATTAAACGGTCAGAATACTGTTGTTTAATTTACATGTGAGAATATGCTTAATTTTACACGGTTAGCATACAGCGTAGTTATTAGCTATCGCATAGTTTCGTCTATTATATATTATAATCAAAACACTTCACTGCGAATAGGCAAGTGAAAATTTTGTATGCATAATTCAGAATCATTGTGAGCCAACGAAAACTATGTTTGATTGTGTTTGTCTATTATTAAATTACTGTAAACTTATCTAAAATATATTTAGTTTTTAATTTTTCGTTATGTTCAGAATGATTTTTGCGAAATTATTGCATAAACAAATTTTCGCTTGCCTTATTCGGCAAGAAGAGCGTTGCTATTTAAGCCAAAATACAAGTTTTACCTATTCGGCACGATATATATATATATATATATATATATATATATATATATATATATATATATATATATATATATATATATATATATATATATATATATATATATATATATATATATATATATATATACCCTTCTCCCTTTCCCTACCTTACTGGCTTAGCGCTTTCTTGTGAATATATAGAGTACACAACATAATATACATCATACATCAACAGATACAGCGTTGCATTTAATACATTTCATCTTTTAATTTATTTTTCTGTTACACTCACGAAGGGAGCGCCTGGGGGGATAGAGAGCACTCAAGCTCGATCCAAGGAAGAGGAGGAGAAATTCAGTTCATCGGATCAAGAGCCCCTCGCCTGTATCAAAGAACCTCCCTTGAGGGAGCTGAACCTCACTTTAAGATATATCTTAACAAACATGATAACTTTTCGCCCACAGAGTGGGTTTTAATACATCACAAAAAGATAAACATAGATAGGAAGGCTGAGTATACACAAGGGAGGATAGTACGTGGTGTGCAGGATGTCTGAGTACCTGACTACCAGGGATGTGGTTCATATGTTGGATTGCGTGAGACCAGCAGTAACAGACCGGTTGATCAGGCCCTGATCCACCCGGAGGCCTGGTCATGAACCGGACTGCGTGGGCGTTGGCTCCCGGAATACCCTCCAGGTGGACTCAGCTTAAGAGGACGCCCAGGGACGCAGACTCCTGCAATTAGTACTGTTCAGCAGTCTGGAAATTGCAGCTAGAAGGCCGGGTTCTGCAACACAGCTGAGCCTCTTGACAAGAACCTTCAAGTAGCCTTGCCACGTAACAGCAGTTCTGAGAGCTACAGTGACCTGCAAGGATCAAGCCACCGCAGTGACATACCTATCTTCTACCACTACAGTGACCTACACATCACTACGGTGACCTACACACCACTACGGTGACCTTCATACTTCATACCACGCAGTGTCCATACACCTAACACAACTACAGTGAGTTTCACACCTCATACCACTATAGTGTCCTATACACCACTACAGTGACCTATACACCTCACACCTCTACAGTGACCTACACGCCCCACACAACTGCATTAACCTACACATCTCACATCACTGCAGTAACACACTTGACACCACTGCAGTGACACATCTGACACCACTGCAGTGACACACCTGACACCACTGCAGTGACACACCTGACACCACTGCAGTGACACACCTGACACCACTGCAGTGACACACCTGACACCATTGCAGTGACACCTGACGCCACTACAGTGACACTTTACAACACTACAGTGACACACCTCACATATTATTACAGTCAAAACTAGGCGCTAAACCCACGAGGGTCATACAGTACCTTACATTTACTCAGCAATCCTATTCAGGTTTATCTATTTGTGACCTGATAAGGCCCACTATGTGGACGAAACGTCGTCACAGGTCGCCTTATACTGCATTTTTTTAGTTTAGTGTCGTAATTTCATACTGTTTATCTTCATACAAAATCGTATCTCCAAAAAAACTCTAGATAAAGTGAATTCAACTTTTGCTAATAAAAAGTAAAATATTTCTCAGAGAACTTCATGTATATATATATATATATATATATATATATATATATATATATATATATATATATAATATATATATATATTGTTAGTGTGTGTGTGTGTGTGTGTGTGTGTGTGTGTGTGTGTGTGTGTGTGTGTGTGTGTGTGTGTGTGTGTGTGTGTGTGTGTGTGTGTGTGTGTGTGTGTGCCTGTGTATGTTTATTTATCATACGCAGTGCGGTATTATAAAGAAATATTAAATCATAATAACATTGGTTGTAATACTAAGAATATTGACACCAGTAACAATTCTTTCTATATAATAATTGTAAATTATTGTTGCAATCAAAACTAAAATAACTAAGTAATGTTGATATTTTTAGTATTAGTCCCATATACGAACTTAAAATTCTTAGCACCCGAGGTAAGTTTTTAATGCTACGAATAAATATTTTTACATTCATATAAGAACAGTTTCTTTTATTATTATTATTATTATTTCAGTATGTCGTTTGCCTCTCCAGTTGCACCTCTGGACTCCTCTCAAGTGTATCTCTGTACTCTGGTTTCTCTCTATTTATCAGACGTAGATTTCACAGAAAGGAAACTTAACACAGTGTTAGAGAATACCTTAATCCTTAATCAAATTGTTGAGGCTATATGTATTTTATTATTATTAAAGATTCGCCGGTATTCTCCCGGCCCGGGCCTTTTCCAAGTGGTGGCCCGGCCTTGGCTCCCTCTTCAGGGAGTGTCTGAGACCTAAGTCTCCCATGGGAGGAGGCACAAGTACCTCCTCATCTTTGGGACCAACTGTCCCCAGGCCTAGCCACAAGCTAGGCCTCTCTGGTCTGCCATCCCCGCCCCAAGTGGGTTAATGGGAATGACAGTCTTGTGAGCTGTAAGCTCGGACTCAGGCACCTACCCCACCCTAGAAGGGTTAGGCATGGTGTCGATCGCTATATGTAAATTGCTGAATTATGTACATTAAAATTTGGAATATAAATTCACAAGTATACTTAAATTATGCTAAAGGATTCCTGGATATTACTACACTGCTTCCTAAGTTCGAGAGATGACGTGAGTGTTAAGAAGAGATAATGGATGTAAACAATACCATTAGTTCAAAGTGGCTCCACAAGCCACCAGTCCCCCCCCAAAAAATGTGGTCGCGAGCTGACTACGTGTGTGAGGGTAAACAGTTTAATCATCTGACCATTGAGGACACTGAGCACGTACTCTGCTTCCTCTATGCTCCTGTACATAGTCCGGAGATCACGTCTGGCCGCAGAGTGCAGCGGGGATGTATCACACCCTCCCTTACCGTGGCGCCTGCTGGCCGCTGACTGAGGGAAGTTGCTCCTCCCCCCGGAGCGCGCATCTCTGCTCCTCCCACTACACACCACTCGCACCAATCGCCGTCAAAGCCACGCCACTCCAGCACCCCAACAACCAATCATAATGGCACTCGCAACGCAAATAATTGAGTGAGCCAGCTATCAGTTGATTGTTTGATTTTTGTAACTATTCGATTTGAAATCCGATCCAATAGCAGTTGTAGAGTTGTAGTTTGTATCTGAGGGAGAGTGTGTGTGTCTTGGTGGTGGCGTGCGGACGTGTACACGACTCGGACTCACTACACACGGACTCACTATGAGTACAGAGGCCCTTATGGAGCCCAGCGCTACCCAAGGCGGACGACCTCCCGTGTCGTCGCCGCCACACAAAAGTCCCTCTCCTCCTTCGTCGACTTCGCTGGCGTCTCATCTATTGGCGGCCGTGTCACAGGTTCAGAGCCTCACGTCGCAACTCCCTCCTTCAGTGCCCATACCCACGTCCTCACCTCCTGGTCTAGGATATCGCCATGGCATGCTTGGAGGAGGTATGCCCCACCAGTTCCACCTGGGCTCCGAGCCTCCCATGTCCTCCCTTCTGGCCGGACTTAAAGACTTTCCCCGTCAAGTACCACTCCCCTCCGCCAGTACCTTCGTCAGAAAGTCACGAGTGTAAAATTGTGGACTATCGCGGAGCCAAAGTGGCTGCGTTTATCATTAATGGCGACACAATGTTATGTTTGCCACAAGCCTTCGAATTGTTCTTGAAGCACTTAGTGGGAGGGCTTCACACAGTCTACACCAAGCTCAAGCGCTTGTCAATCGAACCCATCGTATGTAACGTTGATCAGGTGCGCATCCTGCGAGGCCTAGGAGCCATCCAGCCCGGAGTCAACAGGTGCAAACTGCTCTCCGTGAAACACTTTGACATCCTCTACAAGGACTGCACCACCGCCAGGTACGTGTGTGATGCACTCACAATTCTTATTCCGAGGGGTTGGTCACTCCTGAAGCTTTAGTCAGGTGGGATGAGATTCTGTGTCAGTGTAGGTCTCTGGGAAAACATATTTTAAATCAACAATCTGAAAATTTAAGACTTGCATTCGAGTAAAAGTTTTTGGTACTCAGGCGCGTAGTGGCACAAGTCAATATAACAAACGGAATATACGAGTGAACTGTGATTTAATTAGAATGCATTTCATAGTAACTGTTGTCCTATTGTAAGGGAAACTTCATGTGATTATGACAGAGGAGCGTGTAGTGTTCATGACACAATCAACAAAGCGATTACCTCTGCAATATTTACGTCAGCAAATGACTGCATGGTGCAGTTAGATGTGATTGTGTATTTACATTGCCAGGAAGCGAGAGCTGCGCAGTATAATTAGAAGATATATGCATGGATAACGCTCAATATGTTATTAATATGAATACACAGGCTTATTTCATTTGTACTAAGGGTGTAGCGCTACACCAGCTTAAGGCAACTGCAATACACTATAGATATTATATACAATACATACACATAATTATATATATATATATATATATATATATATATATATATATATATATATATATATATATATATATTATATAATGTGAATTTATGTATGTAATAAAGTCACAAGATACAAATGATAACTAATTAACTAATATGCAATTCACAGTAAATACGAATTAAATTCCAAGCGCTTCCGTGATCTTTCAGTTACATTCTCATGGAAAAATAAAAGCAATACAGCCTTTATGTAAGCTGCACTCTGTGTTACTGTATATAAGAAACTACCTTTATTTTTTCATTAAAAAATGTGACTGAGATGAAAGCGCTTGGAATTTAATTACCATTAACTGCGGTTAAAGTATGTGTGTGTGTGTATGTATGTATGTATGTGTGTGTTTATACTATATATATACATATATATATATATATATATATATATATATATATATATATATATATATATATATATATATATATATATATATATATATATATATATATAGTGTGTGTGTGTGTGTTGTGTGTAATAAAATGACAGGACAAAGTGTTATTTTATGCATTATAACCACAGTTAACAATAGTAATATTCTAAGCTGTTTCATGATTCCTCACGTTATCAAAGAACAGTAAAAATAAAATTACAAAAGATAACTTATAAAACTAAGATATGACTTTACATGTGACCTCACATATGACCCTACTTACTGAGCGTGGGAATTCTGTTCCATTATCGTGAAGTTTTTTTTTTTTAGTTAGATCATATTTTACCTGACAATGACACAACTTGTATGGTAAATGAGTGTAAATGTTTGTTAGTATGAGGGGATGGTGAACATGAAGGGTTAGTGAGTTTGATGGGTTTTCGAGCGTGAGAAATTAGACCGTGGAGGTTGGGTGTGGGCTAATGGAGTGTGTTGATTTGGGATGGAAGTTGAGTATGTGGGGTTCAAGTGTGTGGGATCTGAGTGTACGGCACTGAAGAGTGTAACGTTAGTGTGTGGGACAGGGAAGGTTCTCTCAAGCTCTGCCTGTTTCCCAATCTGTTTGACTACTTTGATTCGTTTCGAAGGCATATAATGGGTTCAGAATGTCTGTGGCTTAGCAGATTTAAGATCAGGTTTAATTTACGAGACAGGTAGACTCCAGGTAGGTCCAAGAGGGTACTAGTAACCCGAAGACTCTTCTACTGTACTTGGTTTTCCAGACAACCAAGTCTGCTGAGATGTTTTGCCCATGCTAGGCTGTGAACGGATCTTAATCAAACAAATCTCAGCTGCTTCCCCCCTCCCTCCCTCCCTTGGATCAAACACAATTATCAATTCCACAGGTGCTATATGACCTCTGTGGGTTTAGTGCTTTGTCATGAGTTCAATATAAAATAACATTGTCCCTTTTTTTTAGTTTACTTCTGAAATGCATCAGTATGGACAGCTGGTTTGTTAAGTTTAAAGTCTATCAACTACCTATTGACCACCAATCAAAGATAATTTAATCACTATAGTATGGATCAGAACGACCTCTCAGAGCAATACACTAAGAGATACACCCACATCGTTGTATATATACATAAATATACACCTATGGTGTGTATACAATAAAAAATACAAGCATTTCGGCATATATACAAGGAGATACAGACCTTCATTATATACACACATAGAAAAACAGTTTCAGGTGTTTAAAATTGGTCAAGTCAGGATCTCCAGAGCGAATAATGAGTAAGGTACATGCCAGCTGCCTCGCTCAATAACGTACAGTAACTGACTGTCCCACTATAATAACCTCAAACAGACGTCACACTGCCTCTTATTCTCAACCACGCTGTCCTATGCAGGAGAGTATGTATCCCTCAGTGTGTATACCTCTGAGTGGCTTAGGGAATTAAAGTATCCTGGACCGAAGGTGTACATTTTATATTCCATCTTAATGATCTTCGTGTAGTGGATAAACTCTACAACTAATAAAAACTAACATGTATTCTGGTGTCTGAGAGGCAATAAAGCTCACACACCAGTGTCAACGTTTATCTAGTCAGAGGTAACGTTTAAATGACCAAAGGTAAAGTTTTGTCATGCTTGCGGGGAAGCCTTCATTACTGCAACGTTTCGTCCAGGGCTGGACTAAACGTTACGCCGGCACGTTTCCCTGTAGCAAAGTGACTTTTACCCCAGCTGTCGGCTTATACCATCATTTACCAACCTTCTTCCCACCACAAACCACTTCAGCCACAGTGCTCATGGTTCCGCTGCACCATAAACTGCTTGACTAGATTCAGCTACCCATTTAGTCCCCATTAACAGCCACACAGATGGTGGTGACACCCATTACGGCAGCCGCGATCACTTTCCTTGGTCACACTGTCTTGGTAAAACTGTCACCCATTTAGCTCAGTCTTTGACCATATTTTATTACCCAGGGTCGCACATGCAGGTCACTGCTAACATGTTTACCTCTTAACCACAATGAACCGGGTTCAGTCATGGGCTAGTCGACATGCAAATATCTTTACACCTACTGCCCTTGTTCACCTAGCAGCAAATGGGGCCCCTGGTGGTAGCCGACTGTTGTTAGTCCATCCTGGGGAGGAAAACCGAAGAACTACAACGCAAAATAAGTCAAAATGCTCGGCTCTCTTGGGTTATCCAGGGTTAATAACCATCCGGGGTTAATAATCCGATTTTTTTTTCAGTGGTCCTTCTATCCACTTGTCTATTTCGTCTATCTGGATTGCACTTTCTCACTGGCATTATCTTACTCTGCTCTGATCTTTATAATTACGCTGCCTACTTTTCACGTATCTCCCTTTGAGGATATATTTTCCCTATTATCTGGCCAGAGGCAACATTTACTTCGCCGGAGGTAACGTTTATCTGATTGGAGGTAACGTTTATCTGATTGGAGTTAACGTTAATCTGGCCGAGGTAACGTTTATCTGGCCGGAGGTAACTTTTATCTGGCCGGAGGTAACGTTTATCTGGCTGGAGGTAATGTTTATCTGGCCAGAGGTAATGTGTTGTCAAAGAAAAACGATTATATGCACGACCAATTTGTGCTCTCTGTATAACCCACTTTGATACAGTTCCCCCTACTGGATAGTTTTACGCCAGTTAGGCGCGTTCCTCTGTTATACGCATAACTCTAAGTGACTCAGATTAGCGTTATATAGAGCCCTTAACCTTCGGTACCTTTGATGGGTTTACAGAGTTTTCCTACTTTCGCAGCACGACCTTGAGCCAGGCTTGTCTGGTGCTTGCCTGGTTAACAACACACCCTTCACTTAGTGGTACACACAGTCTGTACTGAGTGGTACACACAGTCTGTACTGAGTGGTACACACAGTCTGTACTGAGTGGTACACACAGTCTGTACTGAGTGGTACACACAGTCTGTACTGAGTGGTACACACAGTCTGTACTGAGTGGTACACAGTCTATACTGAGTGTACACACAGTCTGTACTGAGTGGTGCACACAGCCTTCACTGAGTGGTACACACAGCCTTCACTGAGTGGTACACACAGCCTTCACTGAGTGATACACACACCCTTCACTGAGTGGTACACACAGCCTTCACTGAGTGGTACACACAGTCTTCACTCAGTGGTACACACAGTCTTCACTCAGTGGTACACACAGTCTTCACTGAGTGGTACACACAGCCTTCACTGAGTGGTACACACAGCCTTCACTGAGTGGTACACACAGCCTTCACTGAGTGGTACACACAGTCTTCACTCAGTGGTACACACAGCCTTCACTCAGTGGTACACACAGCCTTCACTGAGTGGTACACACAGTCTTCACTCAGTGGTACACACAGTCTTCACTCAGTGGTACACACAGTCTTCACTCAGTGGTACGACACAGTCTCACTAAAGTGTACACACAGTTTTTCACTCAGTGGTACACACAGCCTTCACTCAGTGGTACACACAGCCTTCACTCAGTGGTACACACAGCCTTCACTCAGTGGTACACACAGCCTTCACTCAGTGGTACACACAGTCTTCACTCAGTGGTACACACAGTTTTCCCACAGTGATACACACAGCCTTCATTCAGTGGTACACACAACCTTCATTCAGTGGTACACACAGCCTTCGCTCAGTGGTACACACAGCCTTCGCTCAGTGGTACACACAGCCTTCGCTCAGTGGTATACACAGCCTTCACTCAGTGGTATACACAGCCTTCACTCAGTGGTATACACACCCTTCACTCAGTGGTATACACAGTCTTCATTCAGTGGTACAAGTAGTTCACACTGGACGTCCACTGACTATTGTTACAGAATATACTCACTCCCATTACCACAACAGACGGAACACTCTTCCCATTAGCACCTCCTCCTCCTCCTCCTCCCCCTTCTGCGGCTACACCTCTACAAGTTAACTTACACTCACTCCCATTCACTGGCTGAGAGACCATCGTTTAGACTGTTTGGAATGGCCATTA